GGTCAGGGGAGTCATTGACCTGGGTCAGGGGGTCATTGTCTAGGTCAGGGGAGTCATTGACCTGGGTCAGGGGGTCATTGTCTAGGTCAGGGGATCATTGTCCAGGTCAAGGGGTCATTTTCCTGGAGGTCAGGGGGTCTTTCTCTGAGTGATTTGATACTCTGAGGGCTGACTGGATAATTGTTAGCGAACACACAGACACCACTCGTGTGTCCGTGCTTGGTATTTTCCCTGCTCTCAGCTGAGTATAGTGGGAGCACCCAGGCCAGGTCTTAAGAGGAGATTGCATTGTACCTAAAATACCACTCTGCCTAGCTGCTAGTTGTGAGATTTGTGAAATTGAGCAGGAGACAGAAGTGTGCTATTTAACATTTGAAATTACTGAACAACTTGTGTCCTATAAACAGCTTTCCTGTGGCATACCTGACCACTGTCACAGGTGAGACGGTGGCTGTTGGCATTGTTCTAGCCTTTGTCGTTTTCCCAATCCACTTTCTCTTCACCTGCCTCTTCAGAAGAATCCGGAGCCAGGTAAGATCAATGTAGTGTGATCTGTCTGCTGTGTAAATTGATTGACTTCAGTGGCCATTTATGTATGGGGAGGAGACATTAGCCCCTTCCCAGCTTCCTGAATTTGGATCAATGTAAGGTGATTCACTTGGGCAGGACAAACAAGGCAAGGAAATACATGATGAATGATAGGGCCCTGGGAAGCACTGAGGATCAGAATGATCTTGGTGTGCATGCACACTAGTCCCTTAAGGTCGCAGGACAGGTAGAAAGTATCTGAGGAGTCACAAATGGCGCTGAACATTGTGCAATCATCAGCAAACATCCTCACTTCTGACCTTATGATGGTGGGAAGGTCAGTGGTGAACCTGCTGAAGATGGCTTCTGTATAAGTTCCATCAATCTTTATCCATGAATGCTTCCTTAGCCTTGGGTTCTTATACTTCTCATTATTTTTCCCTATTTTGGATAGTTCTGAACTGTTTGGTTTGGCATTCCATGGGCAGCAGTGGGAAGTAATTGTGATTGGGGTTTGGCTTTGTACTTTGTGACATTTGGGTTAATCCTATCAGAATGAATAGACTGTTCATGGGTCTGGGGTTGCACTAATGGGACTTGGGCTTATACCTGTCGGACTGGGGTCATGTTGGTACATTAAGGTTCACACTGAGCTTATTAAGTGACCATTTTCTTCACACCAGCTGAGATATTGAGGGTGGACAACACATGTGAGCTCAGCTGTATTCTTCAACACTGACATTCCCAATGTGGTGTTCACAGAAGGGCTGGAAGTGGGGACTGGGAGCCTAGTTTCTTCAGCTAGTCAGTGGCTCTGAATTCAGATACAGTCATCCCTGAAACTAAAAGAAGCTGACATTGTTCAGGAAGCTGGCACATGGTTAATGGGCTCAATATTAACAAGTACCACAAGGTGTCTTGTTTCCCCTGGAAACTGGGATGTCCACATTTTCAAGGAATTCCCAGTTTTGCCAATGGTTTTTGCCAGTCTTGCCCACTTTGATTGTGACTGAAAGAATCTTGACCAGTTCCAGCCAGAGCCATACCGTACACTTTGTGCAATGAGACTCAGGTGTTGCCTGCAATGGTTTGTTTTCGCATATTTCTAAATTGGTGTTGTTTTTTTAATACATTCACGGGATGAGGGTGTCACTGGCTAGGCAGCATTTACTGCCCATACCTAATTGCTCAAAGGGCAGTTCAGAGTCAACCACATTGCTGTGGGTCTGGAGTCACATGTAGGCCTGACCAGGTAAGGATGGCAGTTTCCTTCCCTAAAGGACATGAGTGAACCAGACAGGATTTTCCTGACAATCGACTCATGGTCATCATTAGATTTAAATGGGATGGTTGAAAATTGAATTCAAATTCCATCATCTGTTGTGGTGGGATTTGAACCCAGGTCCCCAGAATGTTTTCTGGCTCTCTGGGTTAACAGTCCAGTAATAATACCACTAGGCCATTGCCTCCCTGATAAGAGAGTTGTGTAAGTGTAAAGAGATAATGCTGGTATATGACCTGGGGTGGTGGGCATGCTGGTAGTCGCAGTGGTCAAGGAGGTGATTGAAGCCACTCAGGTTAAACCTGGACATGCTCCATCAGATAATAGACAATGCTGATAACGTCTTTTATCAGTCATACCCTACCTAGTTGTTGTCATCCTCGCTGTACAGGTGACATACCAATGCTCATGGGATACCCCACAGCTCCTCGTCACTGGTTGGAAAATTCGGTCATTGTTGGCGAGGCAGTGACTTATTAAATGCCATGTTACTCTATCCCAGGTCACCATGGATGACCCTGAAGGCTCTGTCCCAGAGGCACAGACTGTGGGAATGGACATGTGTTTGGATCCCTCAGAGCTGGGCAGCTCCTCCTTCCTGTCTATTCCTGGAGGCCTGGACTCCATTGCAGATGCCAGCTCAGAGAGTTGTGTAAGTGTGAAGAGATAATGCTGAAATTTGCATTTTTCTCACATCTTTCTTGATCTGGACACATCTTAAAATTACACTCCATGCACAGTGTGAGTGAAAGCAGGAACAGGAAAATAGGTAGAGTCAGCATAGCATGAAGCATAGTGCACAGGAGAGGGCTTCAGCTTTTTCGGGCTGTGGGGCCAGTTCTGGGGCAAAACGCACCTATTGTGTTCAAAGGGGATATGCTGCACCTTAACAGGACTGGGACTGGTGCCTTCACAGGGAGGTTCAGTGAAATGTCTGGGGAATTTAAACTAAATCAGCAGGGAAACGGGCACTAGCCTAAAGATTTAGAAGAGGCGATAAAGTTGGTGCATAAAGTTAGAATACTGAATAGTACTGGAGAAGTAAATAGTTTCATACTAGGGGGAAAAGGGGAAATAGTCAAGGGTTAGAGTAATGAAACCTAAATTACTGTATGAATACACAAACTGTGTTGAATTATCTTGGTGAGTTACTGCTGTAGATTGCCATGTGGAAGTATGATATTTTGGCAATAACTAAGATCTGGCTTTAGAAAGTACAGGACTGCGTGTGCATTATTCCTGGAAAGTAAAGAAAGGATAAAAAGGTAGGGGTTTGGGACACTTAAGGATAGTGTTGTAGTACTTCAGGGAAAGGTTATGCCAAAGAACAAAATCAATTTGGGTAAATCTAGGGAACAAAAAAGGTGTACGAATATTGACCAATTGACTTCTCAGAATTGCAACATTTTGTCAGAGCCATAGGGGCTGTTTACACTGTGCCCCTCTTCTGCCTTCTCCCCTTGACCCTGTACATTCCTCCTTTTCACATATTAACCCAGTTCCTTCTTGAATGCCTTGATAGCACCACCCTCTAGCACACACTTGGGCAGAGTGTTCCAGACCTTAACCACTCACTGTACGAATAGTTTTCCTCATGTTGCTATTGCTTCTTTTGCCAATCACCTTAAAAGGATACCTTCTGGCTCTTCAAACTCCCACCAATGGGAACAGTTTCCCCTAATTTACTCTGTCCAGACCCCTCCTGATTTTAAACACCTTGATCAAATATCCTCTCAAATTTCTCCAAGAAAATAGAACCAACTTCTTTAATCTGTCCTGATAACGAAAGTTCCTCATCCCTGGAACCATTGTCGTGAATTGTTTCCGCATTTTCTCCAACACTTTCACTTCCTTCCTAAAGTGTGGTGCCCAGAACTGGACACGTTACTCCAGCTGAGGCCAAACAAGTATTCTACAAGTTTAACATAAGTTACTTATTGATATACTCTATGCCCCTATTAATAAAATCCAAAATGCTGTATACTTTATTAACCCCCTCTTAACCTGTCCAGCTACCAGTAATGACTTGTTCACTAGTACATCCAGGTCCCTCTGCTCTTGCACACCCTTTAGCATTGTACCCTCTACTTTATGTGCATCTCCAAAGTCTCTCCATGTTGTAAGATGAATAATTTTATGTAGTGATGTATCTTGGCTGTTGTATGTGGGTGCTTTTGGCTGCAATGGCAACCACATCTGTCGTGGACATCTGCAACTTGCAGATCTTCAGCTCAGAATCCTTGAGCTGGACGCTGAGCTGCAGACATTGCTACACCTTAGGTAAGGGGAAGGCTACCTGAATACCTTGTTCCAGAAGATGATCACATACTTTAGGCCAGTATCACCTGACTTGGTCAGTGGTCAGGAACAGGATGGTGTTGTTGCACATTGGGCAGGTACAGCGTTCAAGAAGGTGAAACTGGAAGAGCTTCAGCCCTTGCAATTGTCCAGCAGTTTCCAGATTCTTGTAGCTTGAGTGACTGAGAGCAAAGACTGTAACATGAGTGAGCTGATTGATGTTGGCACCATAGCAGATGAAGACATTAAACTGGGTGTAGATAAAATATTGCAGTGGTAGTAGGGCAAAGTACAGTCAGGGAAATAGTCACTGTTCTCTATATCTAAAAGCAAGAAGCCAGAAGGCTCTGTTGCCTGTCCAGTGCCAAGCATCAAGAGATCTGCCCAGACACAAAGAGGAACTTGCATTAGGAGAGGAAAAATCAGTGGTAATGGTCAATGTAGCTACCAGTGACATAGGCAGGGTAATGTAGGAGATCTGCAAATTAAAAATCAAAGCCTCAAAGCAAATAGTCTATGTTTACTACCAGAGCCACGAGCAAATTCATGTGGTGTAAACAAGGTAAGAGAGTTGAATATGTGGCTTAAAGATTGGTGCTGGTGAAATGGGTTCTGACACATGTACTGGAATAAGTCAGGGCTCTACAGTTGGATGTTCTGCATTGGAATTGTACTGGATTTAGTGTTCTAGTGAATTGTACTGGATCTAGTGTTTATAACTAGGGAATTAGTGAATAAGGCTTTAAACTTTAAATAGGGAGAGGTTGGCTTGGAATTTTGAAGAAAGAGGAGTGACCTTATTGATGTGTATTAAATCATGAGTGGCATAGATAGGATGAATACATATAGTCTTTTTCCTAGAGATGGGCAATTGAAAACTAGAAGGCATAGGTTTAAGGTGAGAGGGGAAAGATATAAAAGGGACCTAAGGGGCAACTTCTTCACACACAGAGAGTGGTGCGTATATGGAATGGGCTGCCAGAGAAAGTGGTTGAGGCAGATACAAAGCAACGTTTAAAACACATTTGGACAAGTACATGGAAGGGAAGGATTTAGAGAGATATGGACCAAATGTGGGTAATTGGAACTACCTGAGTGAAGACCATGGCTAGCATAGACTAGTTTGGGCCAAATGTCCTGTTTCCATGCTGTATTACTCTATGACTTTATACTCAACATATAGGGGAGGGAGGAAGGAATCATGTAGTGGAACATTGAGTAAATTCAAGGGAAGTTGTAAAGCAATTGATCAAAGTAGAAATAAATGTAATGTGAAACTCTATGAAAGGAGGATACAGTGACTGCAAACTTTACAGTATGCCAGCAGATAGGGGCAGCTTCCGAAAACAGTAAAAAAAGATTGCATGAAGAACATCGTATCCAAATGCCCACCACAATGGCATGAATTGTTTGTTCCAGTGGAAACTCATGTATGACTTGAGACCCATTACGGCGATGTGGCTACAAGGTGACCAAAGCTTGGATCTGAATATTCAAGGGTATGTGACATTCAAAAAAGACAGCTGGGAAAAGAAAACCAGATATTGATGAGGTAGCTGTGTTCATTAAAGAGTGAGTTAGTACTGCAGTGAGAGATAACCATAATGTAGACTGAGTTTGGGTGGAGCTAAGAAACAGCAAGGGGTAGAAAGCTTTGGTAAGAATTGTAGGCCACCAAACAGCAGTGATAAAGTAAATCACAGCATAAATCAGGAAATTAGAGGTGCGTGCAACAAAGGTGAATGCAGTGATCATGAGGATTTCACTTCACATATTGACTAAGTAAACCTAATTACTACCAATATTGTGGAGGATGAATTATTGGAATGAATAAAAGATTGCGGCGGCGCGGTGGCTCAGCAGCTAGCACTGCTGCCTCACAGCGCCAGGGACCCGGGTTCGATTCTAGCCTCGGGTGACTGTCTGTGTGGAGTTTGCACATTCTCCCTGTGTCTGTGCGGGTTTCCTCCGGGTATTCCGGTTTCGTCCCACAGTCCAAAGATGTGCAGGCTAGGTGGATTGGCTGTGTTAAATTGGCCATAGTGCCCAGGGATGTTTAGGTTAGGTGGGCTAGACCTGGGAAATGAGGGGAATGGGTCTGGGTGGGATGCTGTTTGGAGGGGCAGTGTGGACTTGATGGGCCAAATGGCCTGTTTCCACACTGTAGGGATTCCATGATCTATGATTATTTTCTCAATCAGTATATTGACAAACCAACCATAACACAGAGAGAGATAGCAAAAACTGCAGATGCTGGAGTCAGAAACAACACAGTGTGAAGCTGGAGGAACACAGCAGGCCAAATTCTGAAGAAGAGTTCTGACCCGAAACATTATCTTTCCTGCTCCTCTGACGCTGCCTGGTCTGCTGTTTTCCTCCAGCTCCACACTGTGTTGCCAACCACAGGACAGGGCCATTTTATGTTTAGCATTGAACTATAAAAAGGACTGATTAATAATTTTGTTATAAGGAAACCTTTTGGAAAGAGTGACTGCAATAAACATAATATACTAATTTTGGAGTGATGTTGTTCAATCAGAAATTAGGCTCCTAAACCTGAACAAAGGAAACTATGGAGCAATGGGGAGCAAATTGGCTACAGTGGATGGGAAACTGTGTTAAATGGTGTGAATATAGATAGTAAAGGCCAACATTTAAAAAAAAACTAATACTGAGTTTGCAATAAAATCCTTTCCTTTATTGTACAGAATCCCAGCAAGAAAAATGGCTCATGAAATATTTCAGATATTGTATCAGATCAAAGGAACTGGCCATTAAAATTTCCAAAACACATGGTAAGCCTGAGGGTTGGGATGATTTTAGGATTCCACAAAGCAAAACCAAGAAAAAGTTTGAGAAAGGAATGTAGAAAATAAAAATAAACCAAGGAGAAATGTAAAAAAGCTGTAAAAGTTTTCATAGGTATGTGAAAAGGAAAAGATTAGTGAAATAAAAAGTGGGGCTGTAATGAGCAGAATCGGGAGAAAGTCTAACAGGGAATAAGGAAATATGAGAGAAACTAAACAAATCTGTCTTCAATGAGGAAGAGCATGAAAATCTCCAATAAATAGTGGAGAACCTAGGAGCTAGTGTAAATGAGGAACTTCCAATTTGTTAATATCGCTTAAAGTGTACTAGAGAAATTAATGGGATATAAAGTAGATAAGTTCCCTGGACTTTGTGATCTATATCCCTGAGTATTGAAGTAGCTGGCTATACAGTTTATTACTGCATTTTGTGATCACCGTTCAAAAGTCTATAGACTCTGTAATAATCCTTCCAAATTGGAAGCTGCAAAATGCAACCTCACTCTTTAAGAAAGGAAGGAAAGAGAAAACGAGAATGATGGGCCTATTAACATTTAATCATCAGGGAAATGCTTGAATCTATACTAGAGGATAGAATAAATTGGAAAATAATGGAAGGATTGGGCAGAGTGAGCCTGGGTTTATGAAAGGGAAATCACAGTTAACAAACCTGTTGGAGACCTTTTAGAATGTAATAAGCAGAATAGATAAGGGTGAACTGATGTTTGTGGTCCATTTAGATTTTTAGAAGGTTTTTGATAAGGTCTTTCAATAGGATGCTATTAAAAAAAGAATGCATCAGATTGGGGTAATATATTGGCGTAGATTGAGAACTTGTGAATGGATGGAAAACAATAGGAATAAGTGGGTCATTTTCAGGATGTCAGGATTTGAAGAGGCTAAGTGAGCAGGCAAAAATTTGGCAGATGGAATTCAATATGGAGAAATGTGAGGTTATTCACTTTAATAGGAAATACAGAAAAACCGAGTATTCCTTGATTGACAAGAGGCTGAGAAGTGCTGAACTTCAAAGGGACTTCAGTACCATTGTTCACAGAAGTTAACAGATAATTAAGAAGGCAAATGGTATATTGGCCTTTGTTACAGGAAGATTTGAGTACCTGACTAAAGATGTCTTACTGCAATTATTATAGATTCTTGGTGAGAACACATTAGAGAATGGTGAACAGTTTTGGCCTTTCATTATCTATGGAAGGACATATTTGCCATAGTGAGAATGTGACAATGGTTCAGCAAACTAATTTCTGGAATAACAAGGTGCAGAGCTGGATGAAAACAGCAGGCCAAGCAGCATCATAGGAGCAGGAAGGCTGATGTTTCGGGGACTGCTCCTATGATGCTGCTTGGCCTGCTGTGTTCATCCAGCTCTGCACCTTGTTGTCTCAGATTTTGCAGCATCTGCAGTTCCTACTATCTCTAATTTCTGGAATGACAGGATTGTCCCATGAGGAAAGATTAAATAAACTAGATCTTTATTCTGTGCAGTTTACAAGTATGCGAGGTGATCTTATTTGAACATACAGCGTTCTTACAGCGCCCAACAGTGTAGAGGCAGGAAATTTTCTGAAGAAGGGTCTAGACCCGAAACGTCAGCTTTCCTGCTCCTCTGATGCTGCTTCGCCTGCTGTGTTCATCCAGCTCTACACCTTGTCATCTCAGGATGTTCCCCCAGCTTGTTGTGGTGCTAGGAGGGGTGGGGATGGCTGGTGAGTGAACAAAGAGACAGCCTCAGAATAAGGCAGTGACCATTTAGGACTGAGATGAGGAGAGATTTCTTTACTCAGAGTATGTAGATCTTTGGAGTTCCCTACCACAAAGCACTGTAGAAGCTCAATCGTTGAGTATGTTCAATGCCGAGATCGATAGATACATATTAAAAACCTCAAGGATTCAGGGGTAATGCAGGAAAATCATGTTAAAGTAGAAGAGAAGCCATGATGACCTGAAGGGCTGAATGGCCTCCTCCTGCTATTTTTTAAGTGTATCTCTGCGAGAAGTCTGATATGCTACTTGTCCTCACGCTCCACCGACTTGTCTCTGTCCTTTTAAAATTCTACACATTCTACCATTCTCAACACTTCCAAATTTTGTATCGTCCACAGTTATTGAAATTGTGCCCTGTTCCCCAGTGTCTGGGTCATTAATATCTATAATAGGAAGAACAAATGACCCCTAGGGAACTCCACTACAAATCTTGCTCCAACCTGAAAAAAAATCCATTGCTTTCTGTTTCCTGTCACTCAGCCAGTTTTGTATCCATGATACCTTTTTATCAAATGCCTTATGGAAGTCCGTGTACACCACATCTACAGCATTACCCTCATCAACCCTCCTATTACTTCATCAAAAAACCCTAGCAAGTTAGTTAAAAATGATTTTCTCTTGACAAATCCACACTGGTTCTCCTTAATTGACTCATTTCTACAAATGTCTTGTAGTGTCTTCTTTCAACCGTCTATCCAAGGTTACTTCCCTTATCAATTTTAAACTTTCAAATTGGGACAACCCCTGTTCTATTTCAAATAGTGATAAGGGCTCTTTTGCCTCTGTGTGTCGCATCATCTTCAGGTTCTAATGGTTTATATATAGATTCATGGATTAACTCCTATGGACTGAGATCTGATCAAGAGGCTTGGTTGGTTTATGCATTGAATAAAAGGAACCTCAGAGTCAGTTCCAGGCTGACTCATGAACTGACTAATTCTTGGAGGTAACAGATGATGCTGTACATTTATGATGTAATATAAAACCTTGTTAATTTCCTGTGACTCATGGTGACATTTATTTATTTTTTCCCTTTTTTTTGGTCTGAGCAGGAATCCCATTGGAGTAAAAAGCTGGACTCAGGCTTGCAATTCCCCCCGCAGCTTTTCAGCAAGAGGTACCAGACACTTTGATCTCCTTAAAGAAAAATGAGCTCTTCACCTCTGGCTGCCCACACAGTTGGTAATGATATCTCAATAACAGACCTATACTGACAGGAAAGCCCTACGTTTGGACCCTCTTCCGAGCAGAGGCACCATGAAAGGCTACAATTTTGCCTCAATTCCCTGGACTATGTAAAGGAAGGAAAAATATTAGGCAGGGGTTCTCACACCCAGTGGCTGTCCAAGCTGTGCAAATGTTGGTCAAGGGCAGCACTGGACTTAGCTGTGATGCCTCTGCAGTTTAATACTTGCCTGAAATTAATCAGTCTGATCTCACACCTGAAATATAGCCACTTGGATGAGTTGCTGAAGGGAGTCAGGGGAACTGGTGACAATCAACTTTTTTTTTGTCTTTGAGAAAAATTGTATAGATGGAGTTCATATCAAATCTGAACAGCATTCACAGACCGTTCCTCACTCGTTCTCCCTCCCTGTCTGACCTTCCGACCGACCTCCCTCCCTCCCTCTCTGACCTCCCGACCTCCCTCCCTCCC